TTCTCGCTAAGATGTTTGATTACTCAAAATTATCACCTTCTTCCCATTTCATGTACCTGGAGTACATGTCATAGCTTCGCGTCGGTTGGCGAGGCGGTTTCGCATTGTTTTTAAAATTAGTATTTAAATGTGAGTATTTAAATGAGTGAATCTCAAAGTTTATTCAGAGCGCGTTTTCGTTAGCTAACGCACGTTTCGTTGCTATCTCGCTGTTACGTTAGTAAACCTCTCGGCCATCATGATCATTACACCTGTTAGGTTTTTGTGAGTTACTCTGTTAGGCGTAATTTAACATACTAATCCAGCACTATTGTATTTTAGATTTCGACTTGAATTATATTTTATGTTTCAATTTCACCGCAAGCTAACGGTGCCATTGTAAAGCACTGAGATCTTCTGTTAATTCCTTCTGTTCCGTGCCTTTCTGTTAATCATTTTGAATTAAATAAAGGGTTATTTTTCACCCTTCTTCTGTGCTGGTAATTTATTCACGCCCGTGTGAGAATTCGCCAGCTTCATTGTAGGATATAATTTAGTTTATGTGAAATCACAGAGATAGATCTTGCAAAGCGATGAAAAGTTAAATCTAAATTATGTAGTCCTAGTTAATATTTGAATTTCAGATAGTCTTCGTGTTTGAGTATCTGTTTCGCTGTAGCTTGATCAGAGAGCGGGAATGTTTCATTAAAAATAAATCAGTCAAAGGTAAAAAAGGAATAAAAATGCTAGATTATTAATACAGAATTTTTTTTTAAAATTAGTCCATATATTCACATATATAATTACATACTGTAAAAGCCCTTATTTTCGTGGGCCGTAATTTTCGCGAAAATGAATATATAGGTGATTTCGCAAGCTGAAAATTTCGCGAATTTTATATGAAAATAACCGAAAGTTGAAAGATTTCAAAAGTACCTAAGTAAAGTTGAAAAATTCCAAAAGTACATCTTTTGCATAAAGCATTTTAAGAAATTTCCTGTACCTTATTATTTTAAGAATTTCTTGCACCTTATTACGACAAGCAGCGAAAGCTTCTCGGGCTAGTTCCAGCACAACCTGGTGTAGCATTGTTCGACGTTTTTAAGGCACGCCAAGATCCTCTTTTTCTGACTGAACTAGAGAAGAGGAATATTATTCCAATTTTGTGTCCGCTTCCTGCACAGGAAAACTCCAACCTTTGGACTGTAAATGGAGAGTTCAAGCGTTTGCTCAAGAATGAGTTTATTGAGTGGTATTCTAATGAGCTTCAGTTTCTAGAGGAAAAAGAATCTGTCGACTTGCGAATATCACGACTAAAACCGATTCACGCTTCTTGGATTGCGCGCGTGTTTAACGGTATTGAAACCAAGCATGAGATAGTTTTGAATGGCTTCAAAGAAGCTGGTATAAATAGTATTCTAGGTGAATGAGCTGCCTTCTATTAATTTCATTATTTTATATTCCAGAAATATATTTGTATATTATTCAAAAAATAGTTATAAGAAAGAAATCTGTCAAGAAAAAGCTTGTAATTGTGCAATAAATCATTAAATTTTGGGTAAGTGAAAAATTTGATTTTTTATTATTATCTGAGGCGGAAAAAACGTATTTCGTGAGGCTTAAATTTTCGCGATTACGACGGGCTCGCGAAAATTAAAGCCTCGCGAAAATAAGGGCCTTTACAGTATAAAGAAATCACGTTTTATGCAAGATATATGTTTGAATTCTCTTATTCCCGAAACACAGTAAGTGTTGTGGTGGCACAGCGAGATGTTATTTTGCTCGTGAAAACCCCGTTGCAGCGTTTTTATCTTAGCCTGCCAATGCAGTTCATTATTCTTAATGCCCAGGATAAAACTAATATCCCCATTAATTATATATCTATTTCTCTTATATATTTTTATGATAGTTTAAATATTTTATATTGCAGTCTTGTCTTCTTAATAGGTTTTAATAATGAAATGCTTATTAAATTCATAAAGATTAGAAAAATCATTTAAAAAAAGAAATCTAAAGAAGAAAAAAGGTTTGTTACTTTGTATTTAATATCGTAAATAAAATAACTAGCTAAATGCCAGAAATAAAACAGAAAATAATAAATAAACAGAAATAAATTAAATATGTACCGATGGGATCAATTCTGCAAAAGCGTTATGATTTTATTGAAAGCAAATCAAAATCTAAAAATGTGATAATTCAAGATTATAAATATTATAACAAAGTAACGCAGTCTCGCATAAAACATATTCATAAATTTAACTATTAATTGAAATTAAAAATTATTAATTAAGTTATATAATTATTAAGAACAAATTTATAAATAAATTGCGTAAAAGTTATTATTACATTAAATATTAATAAAGTAGAAGATTTAATTTTCCACAAATGTTTTTTTTTTTTTTTTTTTTTTTTTTTTTTTTTTTTTTTTTTTTTTTTTTTTTTTTTTTTTTTTTTTTTTTTTTTTTTTTTTTTTTTTTTTTTTTTTACCAAAGTTTTGAGCAGGGAAGTAATTTCAGGAAGGTAGCAATTAATATATTACAGTCGAACACTACCAGTTCTCATCCTGAGCTTTGCGTAGTATGAACCTCTTTGCTAATCTCATTGTCTCCTGCCATTTTATTCCTACAAGCTATTTCGATAATAATACTACTTAAAGTTGCTAAATCTGATGAAACTGAAGAAATAAAATGCTTTTGAGGGAACGAAATTCATGAATAGATTATTGAATGGAGCCTTAAACGTAAATATAAAATGTTTACCTGCATGATTACAAAATAGTATGTCCGAGAAAGTGGATCGTGTAAACAAAGAACTTAAATCAAAGTAATTTGTTGTTTGAAACAATTGTTTGAAAAAATTGTTTGAAACTTTAAACTTCCCGGCATGGTTCCGCTACGTAGACGATACTTTTACCCTGTTTGAAGGTAATAAAGATGATTTAAATAGAGTTCTTTCAACAATGAATTCTATTGATCCTGCTATTCAGTTCACTTTTGAACTTGAGACTTGCAATTCTCTTCCGTTTCTCGACATTCTGGTCACACGTAACACATCCAACTTCAGTACTACAGTTTACCGTAAACCTTCATCGGTTTGCCTTCCACCACACTTTAAATCATGTCATCCGACTAAACAAAAGTTAGCTTCATTTTATTCCTATGTTTTCCGTGCTCTTCAAGTTTGCTCCTCCAAACTAGCCCTTGATGAAGAACTAAATTATTTAAAAGCAATAGCTATTGGCAGGGGCTTTTCACCCAACATTATTAATCAAGCAGTTAAAAAATTCTCATCTCAACACACTAAAAGCCCCACTCTTATTTTAGGAAAAATTCTGTTGTCATTCCCTTCTTTCCATCAATTAGCTATAAAGTTGCACATATTTTGCAGAAATTTAACTTTCGGGTTGTTTACTCTCCCATCAATAAAATTCCAACTTCTATACTCAAGGACCCCATTCCGGATATGAATTCCTGGGGTATTTATAGGATTCCTTGCCAGTGCGGTTTAATTTACATTGGCCAAACTAAGAGAGCCTTAAAATTTCGCGTCAAAGAACATGAGGCATATGTTAGAAAAAAGGAAACACAGAAGTCTTCTGTTGCTCAACATTGCTGGTCCGAAAATCACACTTTCAATTTTTCTGCTGCCAAAATTATTCAAAAAACATCTTCCATTGGAGAACTGGATTTTCTAGAGAGGCATTTCACATTCATAAAAATCTTTCTGTTCTAGTTAACGATCCTAATTCCAATCCAAATTTGCCTTCGGCTTTTAGAGAAATTATGTTTTAGTTCTGGTTTCGCCAACAGATGGCGCCACTTGCTTATTCTTGTCCAGGCTTTCTTATCTTATCTAAATCATTATTTTCCTATCTTGTTCATTTGCGGTTTTGCAGCTGAAGATGATGGTTCGGTAAAACCATCGAAACTAGTCCTGTGAAAATTTTGTAGGTATAACTCTGATTTTTGTTGTTTGACTTCTGAATTAGTATTTATTCGGCGTGTTATTGTGTCTTAATCCTCGTATTTATTCGTATTCGATACAAACAGGTTTATGCTTCATTTTATGTACAATGATCTACGTACCCTTTAAAATCTAGCTTCCCAGGCTCTGGCCTTTTAGACCTAAACTGTAACAAAACCCTACTTTGATGCCCGTAAAGGTTAAACCACGGAGTATAAGGACTTCTGTACTTCTCCTATACAAAGATTACGAAGTTATAGTTTCCAAATACCCTTTAGTTTGCAGAGTAAATATCAAGCGGAGACTTTTTGCAGGATTTAGGGCAAATGCTTTATGTATCTGTGTAAGATACACACACGTGCACGCACACACATATATACATTGCAAAATAAAGAAATATTAAATCCATTACATATTCAACATGAGTCAAGCAGTTGCGTAAGCAAAAAATCATGTGAATAAAAAAACTAAAATAGCACTGAGATCAATATCGAAGAAGTGCATAAATAGTAGACATTCTACATATACAGCTAATTTTTATTTTTTATAATTGCTTGATTCAGTCTCAATATATAACGGTTTAAATGTGTTTTCTATTTTTTTAAAATTTTACTATCAGTTGTTGCAGTATTAAGCTGATAACTGGGTTAGTTTTAGAATTTCTTTTAATTGCAATTTTTTTCGTTACATATACACACGTAAGAGCTGTTATATATATTACAGTGTTAAATTTGACTTTATTTTCATATTAGCTCTCTACACTAGCATAATTTAAAATTTTGCAGATAGTGTAGATAAGAGGTACCAATGAAAGTTTACGGTGTCCTGTTTAAAAGTTGAAAAATTATTAATCTGAAACAATTTTCTGTAATTCAGATGAAGTCATACATTAAGAAAATGTATGAGCTTTCCTATACTAATCATTTTTAAGAAGTCAGGTATTAATAAGAATTGCATGTTCTGAATTTATCCCTGCCCCTGAATTTATTACTATTTTAATCTGGAATAGCCGCAGTTTCATTCCGCCAGAGGACCTCATACATCCGCCCCCATTTGCTATATCCATCATATGACGGGTGTTTCTTTGCCAGCCATTTTGACTTCGGTACTGGTGAGATATCTTGGGGTTAACTTCGTGGAAGTACACTGATCTCGAATCATTTCAAATTATATTCTTAATCGGATAATTCATTCAAAAAATTTTAAAAAATGGCTGACGATGCACCGATTTACGGTCCATTTTTTGGAACGATGGGAGCCGCTGCAGCGATGATCTTTAGCGGTAAGATAAATTTTACATTATTTCGCAGATCAGGTTCAAATATTGCATGTATATTATAGATTTTGGAGGCGGGATGAAAGCAAATGCAGAGCAGTAAACAGTTGAATTCTTAGTCTTACTGTTTTTATGCACGGTATTTATTTTCTGTAATTTTTATAATTGCTGCTCTTTGCTCGTAAATTGATTCGTCGGTCTTTAAATATGGTCGGGCGTAATGCTTATGGTTGCCTGTTGTATGCCGTGGAAATTAATGGTACGGATTTCTAAACTGAATAAATTATAAATAATTTTAACTATTAGTAATAAAATTGTTTAAATGATACAGTTTTAATTTCTGAAAATTCTGTTATTACAGGGCTAGTGCTGGTTTCTTAGGTTGGTTTTTAACCTTAGCAGAGCTATACTTTAAATCTTCAAAACACTTTTTTATATATTAGTTTAGATAACCTGCATACGAAAGCCGGTTTTAAAATGTTATATCTTCATTTGAATGTACTTGGATATCCTTTATATGAAGTGACTATTTTGCATATCTTTTAAAAAAACTCTGGTAGTTTAACCTTTAGGGATGGCTTAATTTCATACCTACTTTTTCATTATACAAGTTATTGAGTTATTAAATAAAATATGCAGTTAAAATCAAATTTAAGGTAGTGTTATTGTCTAAAAAGTTGAGAAGTTTTGCCAGCAGTTGTATACAACTCAAATTAATTTTTTATCCCTCAGTTCTGTATACTGGGGGTGTGAAAAATGGAAAACAATACTCGTAACCTGCTATGATTAAGGGAGTAAGCAGTTAGGGATTAATAATGTAGAAATGGTAAAATTATTCCTTTCTTCCGAGAAAAATCTTCATCTGCTAGTTACTTTTCATGCAGTAATATAACTGATTGAAGTTAGCACATTAGTATGCAAGTAGTGTTATCTGTTGTAATAGCATCAACTTAAAACAAAATGAGCAATAGATTCAAGTTTGAAGAAGAAAGGTGAAGTTTGGAAAAGGATGTGACCACTGTTAGCTGTCATACTTTTTTCTATATTGGTATATTTATTTAAAATCTGAACTAAAGTGCCCATTACATATTTTCACATGTTGAGATTTAAAAATTCCATAAAAAGGCAAGTTATGTAATAAATCATCAGAAGCATTTTAAGAACATAGCATTAAATGGCCAAAACCAGTTCAGGTTTTTGATGAATTAAAAGTTTGGAGTGAATCTAATGTAAGCTTAAATTATGTGCCACGCTGTAACACCATTTGCACTTCCAAACAGGTTAGTCTGATAATTTTTATCACGAAAAATACGGTTCAATAAAGTCACTTCAATATGTGAATAAATCACACACAAATTAAAACTATATACAAAATTTATTTACAACATGTTAGCTATTCTAAATTACTCTCAAAACGAGAGTTCAAAATCATTATTACCTACTCCATCAGTTCATCAAACAATTCTCTAAGAACAGAGTGCAACAGGGTTGCCAAAAAAGTATAAACTCTAAAAAACTAAACTCAGTGGCATAACAGCCTTAATGGGCCGAGGCCTGCAGTGGTCGAAATCTGCTTTCTTGACCGTTGGCCTCGGGATTCGTAAGCATATCCCTTGAACAAGTGGTCAGCTTAATCGCAGGAGCCCCAGTGTTTAGTCCCCAAGCGAACTTGTTACTCACTTTATCGAACCAAGTGATGGAAGGCTGAGTTGACCTTGCCCAGCCCGGGAATTGAACCATGGGCCTGTGGTGCTGCTGCGCGATGTGCTAGCCACCTAGCCTCCACAAAAGTATACAAAATCAAAATATGCACTTCAGCATTACGGAATGGTCAAATCGACAGTCGCAACACACACAAAGCCTAATTTTTACGATATTGAGTGTAAAACAAATATATATATATATAGGGGGCCAAGAAGTGATTTAATAAATTGTGGATTGGTACGAAGCTGTTCTTTTCTTGCACAAAATCCCAACCCCCTGGTCACCCCAATACAAAAATATGAACAATTAGCAAAAGCCAAGAGCTATAAAATTGGTTTCTGGTAGATTGAAAGTATACTTGTGTGGTTTTCTGGTATGAATATTTAAGTATATAGACACATTTTTGTTTAAATGTTTTCCATGAAGGTATTTTCCTTGACAAGCGATCTTGAAATACTTTAATCTTTAGTCCAACTACTTTTCGTGAGTTATTCCTGAAATTTTTCATTTATATTGCATTTTCTATCTTTATTTTTACTGCAGCTTGTTTTTGTATGTTACCATTCCTGAAAATTTATAGATAATTCCCCAGAATAAAATAAGAGTAATAAAAAAGCTATTTAAATAGACTAATGTCCGACCTTATGAGCTAAGTGCCAATCACACTAATCATGTTAATGATACTCATGTTAACGATACTCGATGAAAAAAGTAAAGATTTCCTTGACATTTCCAATTTTTCATCACATCTCACAGTAGCATACAGAATCCTCTGGTTCTTAATTTTTAGCACTTTTTGAGGAAAATGTTTTCCCAATAAGTGAAATTTATTGAATTAATTGAAATTTAATTGTGCATATTTCATTTCCGTGGTTTTCCCCATGTGTAACGTGTATATGAGCCAGTTTTCCTTAAAACGTCCTCCACGAAAGGCATCCCTTCCCTTGGGCAGATAGCCCTAGTGTGCTTTGCCATAATTAATTAAATACACACCATATTTCATTTCCCCACCTATAATAATTTTCTAAGGCAATTTATCTTACTAAATATTATTTGATTTGTAATGTCTTAATCTGCTGCATTCATTTGTAGAATTTCTTATGAAGATTCAGTTAATATTTGTATTTAATTTTGTTTTAGGTCATTATATGGTACGTTCATATAATATGTATGTTATTAATTTTTCCCTGCTGATTTTTTCAGTATGAAAGTAAGAAAAGTGCAAAAAACAAAAGATTTAATGAATATAAAATTTAAAATACTTAACTGATGTATTGTCTGTCAGAATCATTACCAATAGTTTTACTAACCTGAATCGTTGATTATAAAGTGAATTTAAGTCAATTTGGAGCACCCTGAAATGAAGTTGTCGCACAGCATGAGAACCTACTGGAATCTCCCCTTTTTTTTATATTTTCAAGGTTAATTGTTAACATTACAAAATTATTTAAATGTAATATATATTAAAAGTAGTAGTGATTGAAGGAATAGAATGTTCATGATTGTATCCTAAATTGATTTATGGTAACCAAGCAAGCTGGTCTTAGAGGTGTATTCATACTTGCTGCCACATGCAATATAACTGTAAATAAATTTCTTAAGAAACAGAACAGAATTAAATTAGACTTTTAGTTATAAGACCATGACCATGCAACTCTATGCTTCTTAAGCCAAGAAATGTTATGGGGAAGCAAATTGGCCAATCAAAAACCAGTAAATAATGTCACTTTTGAATGGGGTGTGGTCAGGAAAAAAGCTTCATAGAATAGTGTATTGTCTTACACATATTGTAGCATCTATCTGTACTGCCACCAATTTATCACTTGTTTGGTAAAAGCAGACTAGGACTGCTATTATTGGCAAAAAAACTGAGGTGATTTTAAGGCGAACTAGAAACAAATTATTAATCTTATAGCTTTGCATTTTCGATATTTTTAAGATTTCGATTGTAACAAGTCTTAATCTAACTTCATCTGTATTTTGCTTCCTTTATGAACTCTGGAAGCTTGTCATTTCTTAAGCAAAATTCAAGAATTGTTTACTTTGCTTTAAATAAAAAAAAAAATTTTCATTGCTTTTGTAGTTGCTTGGAAAAATGGTTAAAAATCCTGATGCTTTCTGCAAAATAGATTATCACTCGTTCTCTTTCGGTATTTTGGACATCAATGCATATTGCTTTATTATTATTTAAAAAAAAAGGTAAAGTATAATTTTGATGTTCTAAATTTGAGCAAATCTGCTATAAATATGCCCCTGAGGGGAGGGCTAGTGCCATTAGTATTCATAGTTTAGCTTTCTGCCTTGCATGCATGCACCACCAGTGGCCAAGAGTAAAACCATTAAATGCTGGTAATTTGGCTAGTAATTTTTTTTCACAGCTGTGAATTTCTGATTGATCACTCATTTGTGATGCAAATGTAAAAAAGTATCTTTCAGATAACCAAGCTGCTGTTATTAAGGAATTCAGTTCCCACTATCACCAAGTGTCAAGTAATTTTTTGTGATCAGAATTTTAAACGTAGATCTTGATTATAGGGTTAATCCTAGTATCCGGTGCACATGGTATTTGGCTAGTTTTGGCGACTTTATGATGAGCAATCATTCAAAGAATATATATAGTTATACATAGTATATACTTAGTATATAGTGTATAATATATACATAGACGTTGTTTGGGTATGTATATAGTGTATAGTACATAGATGTTGTTTGGGTCATTTTTGGTGTTGGCGATAAATTTCAAAATCGCGCCAAGGCTGCACCGTATACTAGGATTTTACCTGATTATATTAACTTTTGATGGCTTTCATTTTATCAGTACCCAAACTGTATAGTTATATTTAATTCTGACCTGAAGGTAGAGTGGGTGGGGTTTCAGTGCTATCATCTTTCGTGTTTCTTCCATGGTGATACATTTCTGTTACTTTTTTGCACTTCCTTTGTGTTAGAGTTACTGACCATTCTTTTGGCAGTAAGCATTGACAGATTTTAACAATTATTTTTCTTTATTTTTTCCAACTTTACTTTTCTTCATCAGTTTAATTTGCTTGGGTTATTATTATTAACTAAATTAACCTTCGTGCTGATTTTCTTTCCAGTTTTTCATGAATCAATGTAATTTTTTCTTCCGTGGACTGTACTTAAAATTTTGAATATAATTTCCCATAAAGTTTGTCTATACCTCCTGCAACCTGCTTTTTTCCCTCCTCTTGACTTTTCTGTCTTATCAGTAAGCTTTTTGTAAATTACAGTTACAATAACAAGTATAAAAACAGTTTGTTTTTTAATACCAAAAATGTAAC